CTTATTGACTGTACAAGCCCGGACAGACTTTCATTAGCTTTCTGACGTTTCTGCTTCATCTCTACTTTATCAGTTGTTTTCGACTTGTGAGTTTGAATATCCCTTCAGTATCTTTCGCCTCTCTTCTACTCTGTACAGATCGTCGGGTTCGGGGGCGAAAACCGCTCCTCTAACGCTTTAATCAATGTACCATACTCCATCATCGGATAGGTCTCCCAAAACGCGCCGGGCCTGTCCTCTTAGCGCCGTGGCTAAAAAAATACATCTGTCCTGGTCATCCCACTTGTTAATCACCACACAGGCATCAAAAGGAGACTTGAAATCGCTCCATTCACTTTTTACATTATATTTATGAGATTAATTTCACTCCGAAACTTCCCGTGGCTAGGTAACTCGGTAGAATTCGGGTTGCGGCATTGTCTCGTTTGACGAATTTGTTCTCTGTAAAGGTGATACCGCTGGCATCGGCATCGTTTCTGTTCTGTCTTCTTCCTTTGTGGTTTATGTCCTCTGTGCTGTCTGTTCTGTCTGTCGCGCTCCTTTATTGGCAGTCTTTATGGCGATAAACGGAACATACACATGCGACACTTAAGGGGTTAGTATGTTTCGATCTGCCCCAACACTGAAACGCTATGGATTTTGAATGATATCCCCATGCTGTGTCTGAATTATTCCGAGGTCACTTTGGTTATAAAACCAGTTATTTCTCCGGATACATCAAGAGCTAAATAACTGGTAGAGCTTGAAATCGAATGAAATAGTGGTTTGGTCACCCTTAGATAAACGACGGACATCAACGGCTTAATGACAAGGTTTGAGCGGTGAACAATGGATGCCTAGAAGATGTCTTATTACTCTGCTTTTTTATGTGGTGTACTGCTTTTCTTTTAATCAATTATCTTAATTGATCTTTAAAGTCAATGCTCTTAAAATGGTCCAATGCGTCAATCTGAAGCCAACGCCCTTTAAATGAGCCACTGCTTCAAGCTGGAGCCAATGCCTTTACTCCAACCAAAACTTTATGCTACAGCCATGGCTCGACTCTGACACCAATGGTTCTTCAGCAGCTACTTCTTTATTAACTAGTAAGTACTTTTGTAAACACTGTTTCTTTAATCTTATCCAGGAACGATGCTTCTTATTCTTCTTCAGAATAATAGTATTGGTTTGTTTACGTGCACCATCCGACTAACACAATACAACAAATGGAAGTTTTTAACGACCTTGACTGGCTATACAGCCCTTGCACGGTCGGCTCGGTGCCCGAAGGCGTTTGGTGAGCGTTTAAATAATTTTGTGCCATCGGTCAGGAACAGGTGGTGGACGTCATTTTGGTAGGCCGCCATCTTGGTTTTGTGAGTTGTTTTGGTTTTTTCTTTTGTTGACTATTTTGATGTTATGTCTTCACAACGGCTGATTTCAGGGCCAGATTGGTCAGCTTGGCAGCCCGCTAACCTCGATGATGGAGTACTGGTAGATGAGTCTCGGACGTAGTATTAACGATGACAGGAAGCATTATCAGGACCAAAGTCGTGAGACAGTGAAATGGTGGTCAATCATCTAACACCTAGGATACAGCCCTCGGACGTCACTCGGCATACCACTCCCCCATCCATAATGGGTTTTGGAGTGTATTTTGACGCGGGAATTTGCCCCTACGCGGATTATAGCCTAACGTAGTCTGTACAGCGTTGGATTGGTTTCTGTCATCGAAAGTAGTAAGTCGTTGATCCATCTAACTGTAAACCCTCATCGAAGATAGCGGGTAAAGGAGAGCTGACCCAGCACGTCCGTTCAGTTGTAATGACTGAGACGTGACTGTGCCTAACACTAACACAATTACTACAAACACGGCTTTATATTCTCTATCTTGGACTCTCCCAAATAATAGACTCAACCAGAACGACTGTATCGCTAAAATGTTTAACTTTATCAACATTTATGATTGTAATATGAAAGCACCTTTAAAATGTTTTAATCTGACCTTACCAATTACGGACCCTGCACTATTGCCTCAAATATAATTTGATGTTTAGAGTTTGTTAATAGGATTCCATTGTAAATTCGATCAAGGCAAGCGTTTTAAAACAATATTCATTACACAGGATTCATATATAAGTGACTTTTATCATATTATTAAAACTATTTCCTAGACAAATATTTATATATTCATTTAACTCATTAATCTTAACCTCTTACAAGTGTTTTCTTTCGGGGTTTAATCAAAAAAAGGTTTGGATTTTTTTTTGGGGGGAAAGGGGGGGGGGGGGGTAACGCAAAGACGCCGTAGAAACGCAAAGAAAACAAATGACCTTGACCTTTTACCTTTGTGACAAAAAGACAAATATAGAAAAAATCAAATTACCTCGACCTTTTGACCTTTGTGGCACCACAAATGACAAATATGGAGCAAAATAAAGCAATAATTTCGGATTCGGCCTTTCACCTTTTGTTGAATCAAAGTCAAGTTAAACAAAAGATATAAGAATACAGACTTACATAAAAGAAAACAAATGACTTATGTTACACCCAGGCCATGAACATGAGAATCAACTATACACTATGTCTGGTATCCTCCTACTTGACATCAGAGGGAATCGATCATGTCCTATGGTACTCTCCTATAGTCCCACATACCTGCTATGTGTAGGAATCAACTATGGCCTATAGTTTTAGCATACAGTTCAATCATTTGACATAATGGAAACAACAGTTTTTTACTGGAACAGTTCTGCCTTCTTGACAAAGATGGGAATCAACCATGCCCTATTGTAACCTCCTCGTGTCCCACCTACTTGACATATAAGTGGGAATAAACTGCAATATTATGATTATTCCATCTTCATTTCTGTCTGTATCATATTATTGAGGAAGGAATATAGCACATGTACAACATCACAATGTCTGTTATTCAGTCCTCCCACCTATTGGTTTCATATTGGTGTATTCTGTTAATTTCAACTACAATCTTTTGAAAGATGAAATCCATAATGAATTTGGTTTATTCGGTGTTCCCTCTTTATACTTACAAATGCTTATATGGTACAGATAGATGCAAGGCTGGAATAAAAGACATTATCATATTGCACGTTTTTTGTTGCCACTTCATCATACAGACAGGTATAAGAATAGAATAAAAGACATTATAAAATTGTACTTTTGGGCCTTCGTTTGTAAGATATACTGTAAATTCGGAAATTATTGCGAGGTTTTTATTAATGCGAATAATGCGACTGGGTGACTATCGCAATAATAAGAACTCGCATTCTGATGTCTGTTACATATATCTGTATGCAGATTTTCGTGATATCGCAAAAAAATAATTTCGCATTTTTGTCCATTCTTGAAAAATCGCAATAATAAATGCACGCAATAATTTCTGAATTTACAGTAGATAGATGCAAGCGCTTCGCAATTATGAGTAATAGTCCTTCTATAGTATTATGTGTGGAAAACTGAGACAACAATGATCTACAGAATCCTACTTTAGTCCATGTGTATATGGTAAATATGGGGAACCAACCATGTAGTGTCTCTAAAGTCTCATGAATGTGAATGATATATGTTGTAATAACTTTAATCTGTAACTCTATAGACCGAACTGTTTTCATGTGGTTTATGCTGACCTTGCATTAACAACATTTAAAAGGCCAAAATAAAAGTTTTGTCATGTGCTTTATTTCATTCTCGCATTAGTTATTATTTATACGGAACGAGAAGAAATGTTGTTAATATAGATGGTTTTTATTCCATCTTCAATGTATGCAAGAATGAATATAACAAATAAATAGTGTGTTTGTCAACAGATGTGGTTTATTCAGTGTTCTGTCTTTATACTTGCAAATGCAGCGATGGAATAAAGGGAATGAATATCATTTTGCTTTTCAATCTATAATTTTATACTATAATATATAATTAAATCTAACATATATATCATATCTATAGAAATCTTCTATGACTATTTTTGGAGGTTCCGGAAATATTTCAGGAGGTCTTCAATGATGTACAGAGAACCTAAATTCAAATTATGGAGGTCTTTAAATATTTGAGTATCCTTTAAATACAACAATTCTGACTGAATTACTACCTGTTAAGTTTATAGAGCCAGTAAATTTAGATACTGTAGATTCATTTATTTTCGTGGGTACCAATTTTCGTGGTTTGAGATAAACTTCCAATTTCGTTGATATTTGATTTCGTGGTTTTGCCAAAGTCTACATATATTCATATAGAAAATTTGTATTTCGTTGAACTTTTAAATTCGTGGTTCCCCTGTACCCACGAAATCCACGAAAATTGGTATCCAACGAATAATAATGAATCCACAGTACTATCCATGCAATCCTTACTTACATTTGAGTTTTTTAAAATATTTAAAACTTATCGAAATATGTATGGCTTTACAGATGGGTTGAACACTCACAAACATGTTTAACCCTACCACATTTTACAAGTTCCTGTCCCAAGTCAGGAGCCTGTAATTCAGTGGTCATTGTTAATTTCGTTCTGCATTATGTTTTTTTTGTTTTTAGCATTAATAAGGCTTTTTTTTTTTTAATTGTTTCACATTTTGTCATGCAGGATCCTTTTATAGCTTTCCAAACTGTATGGGTTTTTAACATTGTTGAAGGCTATACACTTATAGTTGTTACATCCTCATTCTTTTGTCCTTAGTGGGTAGTTGTCTCATTGGCAATCATACCACATCTCTTTATTTTCATATATATAGTACTAGTAAATGTAGGGATTGTTTTCCCAATTGTAATTCCCTGGCAAAGGAATGATAAACATTCTTAATTGTAGACATTGTTCTCGTAAACACAATAGAAAGAGGAAAAACATTGTTAAAATGGACATGTAATGTTTATTTTGGTCTTGATTACCCAAGAATTTCAGTAGAGATGTTATTGAAAAAGTTTATGATGGAAGACTATAAACACTTATTGATGTGAAAACCTCACTAACAACTTAACAGAAAATATCACAGGATCCACACTAAATTGTAGTTTGACAATTGACTTTATTTCAAAAGATAAAACATGTTAAATAATAGCACAATCCAAGCATTCACCACACAAACACATGTAAAGCATCCCTGGAATGTTACACATATATCAGAAATGTATTTTTAAGTAAATATCACTATTACATACTGGAACATTGTAGTTTTCAGATTTGTTTTCAAAGATCTCTTGCTGTTATATGTTTCGGTCATATAATATGCAATATTTGTATGCCAGCAGTTACAAATATAACTTCCTATCCACAAGAAGCAAAATAATTTCCTTGTTTTATCATTCTCATTCTTTGCATCTGGATCAGTCATTCTTTTCATACTGAACAAACTTATCTATTGTATCAACTATATATGCCATGTTTATATTTTTTGGAGAAGCCATAAAAAGAGCATTCATTTTTCTGTCCATCAAGCTTAAACATTTCCTTGTTTAATCATTCTTAATCTATGCACCTGTATCATTCATTCTATTCATGCTGAAAAAAAAATGAATTTAACAAAAATGTATTGTATGCCCATTTTAAAATAATTTTCATATAAACAGAAAATTTGGAAAATGCATTACTTATAAGCTGATAACATACCAAACAAATAAAGATACAACCTCAATGTAGACACACAGAAATGGTTTCATATATTTCCTAACACTACATGCAGGATCACAGTGGTCATCATTTGAGCTATAAGAATAAAAGGTTTTTTGAAGACAGAATCACAATGCATTTCTTAACCTTCAAAAGAACCACAAACAGTTCTAAACAAGACAAGGTATCTGTACCAATTGAATTATGATTGTCTTGTGTTCCCCTGATTTTGTTATTAAGAAGTCACTAAAGGCAACCATGATGCATCTCTCAGAAAAAATACAAAAGGTTATAAGTTTTGCCTACATATTGTCTTAAAATCATAAGAGAAAAAGATTCCAGCACTGTATTTCTTATGATATGATTTTTACCATCTCAACAATTTAACTGTCTCAAATGGAGAAATTTGCTATCACATTCAATGCAGTGGTATAATGTACATACAACATGAAAATTAAGATGCATATATAAACAGATAATGGAAACATTCTAATTATATGCAATTTCCATTTTTTTTTAGAGTAAATCTGAAGTTTATCAAAGTTTTGTAAATAACTTTATTCCATCCTGTTTTTTTATGACATTATAATGTCAATTCAATACCGATACCTTGAAATATTAACTTAATATTGGCAATACATACATGAAGTAGCATATTTTTTAAATATACTACATGCATTTGACTGGTCAATACAAAATGAACTGTAACAATGCTGTGAACAGATTTTCTGCTCAAGTTAAAAAGAAATCTTGTAACCTTTCATACATCACATTCATTAGACTAGAATATATTAAATCATATCACAATATAACATATACATGATGGAAAACATTGTTGTGATTTAGACAGATATAAACAGAGAAAGGGAGATAATCACATTAAATTAAACAGAAAATACAAATATATTGCTATTAAAACATAAAAGTTACACATAATATAAAATAATAGCTTATATCTAATATTTGTAGAAAATAAAATAAAATTTATATTTTTAGCATACAACTGGTTTATTATTTTTTTTACATATTTTAATATGCAATAGATTATAATGCAGAATTCTAGATTTTGAAATCTATTGAAGTACATGTACAGAACTATTTCAAAACATAATCTATCCTAAATCTGTTTTTATTTATTAATATGTATCAAAATCACACTTAGGACTTAATTAAACTATAAGCAATTCAACCTTGTTGGTTAAAGCTTTTGTAGAGCCTCTTATTTCTTTGGACAGTTAAAACTTTTTTTTTATCAAAATGTTAAAGGAAAATCACTAAATTCTCATATCATACTTTTATTTTATATACTTATCAAAGCAAAAACAAATATTTTAATGTTATATACAATGTATTGTCGTTTATTTGTATATTCACATCTTGTTAAGAGACAGGCCAGGGACATTAAAAGCTTTTCAAATAGTGAGGATGTATGTCCCTGATTGAACACCTTCAATGTACTCATTGACATTTATCCCAGATCTCTATTAATTCATACTATTCAAATGAAGTAATATAAAATTCACTTACCAGTAAGATTTCAAAGAGAAAGATTTAAAGTTTTTTTCAGTGTTTATGGCTAGCACTAATTGCATACTTTTCTTTTTGTATGGCTTATCTTTTAACAATCAAAATAATATCAATCAAATTGCACAAATATGGGTTATCACAGATATTATTTTAAATCAGACACAACAATGTCTCAGGCAGTAGACAGCTGTTCAGCAGCAAATTGTCTGTTTTTCTGATTCATAAAAATTCCAATAATTACCTCCCCCTACCAAATTCAAATCCCTTAACTTTAAGCACTGTTATAAAAACAAATTGATAAAAAGAAACTAGAATACACAGAGGTACAAAAATGACTGTAAATTCAGAAATTACTGCTTGCATTTATTATTGCCTTTGTTGAACAGTTTCAAGAAAAGCTGCATGCAAATAATGCTATCAAAATTTAAGATGCAAGATTTTATGTCGTCGCTATTTTCACAATAAAAAAACATCACAAAAATTTCTGAATTTTCAGTACTCAGTTTTTGTCATTTTTTAATCTAGCATTTTATAAAGATTGCCACATCTAGAGTGTTATGGTATTTGCCATTATCTGGCCCTTTAAGTACATATAAAATGCATGGTAAAGAATACAACACTGGCACACATATTGTACATCACAGTCTGCTTCACAGCAGTTACCACATACATATTACATTATACTTAGGTAAAAAACCAATTATTCAGTTTTTAATAGTTAAAACACTTTTTTGTTTGTTTACAGCTATACATAACATCATATGATTAATTATACACATATAATGCAGTTCTCTTCATTTTGATCCAAAAAAAGGTTCATCCAATATCCTTAAATTGTTGCTCTACTTAAGCAAGAAAGTTTTAGTTTGTAAATTTTTTTTAAAAAGACTTAGCAATAATCTATTTTTCTGGGAAGAAATCCTTTTTAAAAAAAAATAACTTTTATAAATGTCTTATTTTACATGTTTTAAAAATACATTTTTTTTTTTAAATTTAAGGTACTTGTACCATTTTCAAACCTGTGGTAATGACAGAATTGTGTACCTTATCAAAATTTGGCTGTTAGATGCATTTATATACAGTCCATGCACATAAGTATCATCACTTACAATTTTTTTATTTGGTCATAATTTGTCTTCAGTTGTTTTCCTTCTTTAATGATGTGAACACACATAATATTTTTTTACTATTTAAATTGGTTGAAATATTTAGCAAATTTTCAGACAAAAAAAAATTGAGTTTTTATCATCAATAAATTAAAAAATATACCCAAATTTGTGTGAGAATTCTACTTCAGTCTGTGCAAAGTCCAATAAAATCCTACCAGAAATGTCCCCTAATAACTTGTTGAAAAAACATGATTTTATCGGTATAGAAATATAATGTGAAAAATGGCAAGTGACAAATACTTATGTCCATGCACTGTACATATTGTATTGCAATATTCAAATTATATGTTATTATTTCAAGTTTACAGTGAAATTATGTAATAAATTATGTAATCTTTAGTGATCACATGATCAACTACAGTACAAATTCCCTTATTACAATAGTAATCTTTAGTGATCACATGATCAACTACAGTACAAATTCCCTTATTACAATAGTAATAAAAAAGTGTAATATTTTACTAAACATCATTGCGAAGAAATAAAATATGAACAAAAACGTCACAAAAGCACTGTAAAAATACACAAATCAAAACAATATTTGGCATTAAAGCATTTGTATCATGTAACTTTGGATACATTTGTAGATTTCTACTAATTAAAAGCAGCATTATTTTGTATCATAAACTGAAAACAAACAATTTGTCACAACACAACCATAAATCATTTCTTATCAATTCAGGAACTTGGCTGATGGGCAAAGTTAATTTAGGTATGAATGTGAATTGTTTAAAACACAAAGATATGTCTCGCCTATGCAACTTAATTAAAAACTTTAAAAATTGTTGCTGGAAACTGCACACCTAAGTCTTGCTTCTATGAAAGTTGTGGCCAGTAAGAAAACACAGAAGTGTCATAAAGCACTGTATCACAATGCCGTGTCAGAATAGAGGTATTTTAATGCTGTCAAAAAATACTGAAGTTATTAAAACAAATTGATGTGCCATCTTACTCTGTATCTCCAACCTATCAAGATTATTATTAATTATATTTCAGGAAGTTTCAATTTCATGGATTGCTTCAGTCAGTATTAAATCATAACAAGCAATATATATGATTAAACTTTTAAAGCTTCCAAAAAACTCATCACCATTTCCCATAATCATGATATTTGTAGATAATGTTTAACCTGCTTTTCTATTATTTATATGAGTGGAACATACTATTGCAAAGCCATAATGTTTACTGACAAATTTAATATTGGTGGTTATCTATGATGACTTGTGACCAGATCATATTGAGGGAAAAAAATAGGAGTTGGCTTGGTTTATAAATTTCTTAATTTAGATAAACTAGAAACTATGCACTCTCAAACCTCACCAAATATTCAACAGAACACATTACATTAACTGTTCAGATCATAGAAATGTCACAAAAATATCATGAAGTTTGGATAGGTTGAGTAAAAATTTTAAAGGTGTAAAATACATTACATGTATCAATTTAAGAATCAAGAAAGAAATACAAGATTTTTTTTTTGCTAATATAAAAATCTTAAGTACGGAAACATTAAAAATTTTTGTCAGCCTCATTCTTTGTTCATTTTATTTGTTTAATATCTTGCTGTTAAGAATAAATTCATTTTGTATATGATGATATCAAAAAACTTTGTCATTTTTTCACCATGTTTTTTGTTGTCTATGGTAGACATGAATATTCTGTAATTTGAGTTAGAATATACCTCAAAATTAATTTGTTGACATCAGTCATAATGAAAATAATGTCCACTGCACATAGACTGGCAAAGTAAAACTATTTTTTATACTTAATATATTTACATTCCATTGATAAAGGATTGTTCTGGTTTTCAGAAAATAAATTACTTGAACATTATTATTTTATTAAATTTGCTAAGATTATTATCTATGGTTCATACAGAGTTTCATCCAAGTTTCAAAATAACCCTAAAAACTTAAATATTGTCCTTCCTTATGCCTCATAGCCTGAATCACTCTGCTCAACTCTTCACATATTGCTATAGCACAGCTCTCTGTTCTTACATGTTTTTGACCTGTTCATAAATACTTGACCATAACTCATCACAACCATTACAGATTTGACTCTATGTTGATAATTCTCTGGTTGGATTGTAAATAAAAAACTATTGTTTGACGGTGAAAAACACACCAAATCAACTAAATAAATGAATAATCAATTTTCTTATATTGGATTGTAAATTATTATCTGCTCCGAACCAAAAAAAAAAAGCTTTTGGAGATAGTTTGCTGTACTCCTTCGCCAAATAGATTATAATACTGCAATTTACAGTTATTTTACTCTATGCAGGAAACCAGAAAATCTTACACGATGTTGCATGTCACATTCTTGATAATCATAACATATGATATAAACTGAAAAATGATTTTCATTTTGTTTGATATAAACGTGCTTACAAAGAAGAAGCTTAAAGTTACAGCAAATACAGAGAAAAATGCAGGATCTATTATCTATCAACTTCATGATATTTTGTGACAAAAAAGTGAATGAAATAAAATGGTTGGTTTTTAATGACTAAATATGAACTTGAATGAAATAGAAAATGGTTGTTTTATGAAATAATATGAACTACATATAATGTGGGGTTTCTTGTCCAGTCAACAGTCTAAATATAGAAGTAGGCATTGTCTTCATGTGAATCTGAAAGTAGAAATTTATATCATGAATAACTTTAAAAAAAACTTTGTTTAAAAAGCATATAAGACATGAATTTAGGGTTCATGAGATCAGATCAATTATAAAACTATGTAAATACATGAAATATATCATACTTTTCTTGGAAGAATAATATAAAAATAAAAGTATTAAATAATTTCTCTATTAATATTATATTTTCACATGTAAATTCATATTATAGTTAGATTTGTTGGTGTTATATAAAAGCCTCCAATCATAACATTAAGAGGGTCCTACAATCTATCTATACCTATATTTTGGAATTGCACAAGGTCATGTTTTTCTCTAACTGTCAATGACATCTTAACACTAAGTCCATTAGAAGTTGGATGTGTACTGATTGATATTTTAGTCTTAGATACATTATTTTTTATTAGTTGTCATTGGCTTCCAACTAGCTTTCAACAACTCTGAGTACTGTCAGATCTGTACTTTATGTCGTTTGTGTTTTTGTTAGTTGATTTTGTGCTTTGTATCAGCCTGATGAGTACAGCACTTTTCAACTGATTTTTACAGTTTGTTCTTATGTTGTGCTGTTACACCACTGTCCCAGATTAAGGGAGGGTTGGATGCCCTCAAACATGTTTAACCCTGCCACATTCTGTTCATCTATTGTTTTGTACAGTTTGTTTTTGTGTTGTTCTGTTACACCACTGTCCCTGGTTTATGGGGACCATTGGACTTCCCCTAACATGTTTAACCCGGCCACATGTGCCTGTCCCAAGCCTGTAATTCAGTAGTTGTTGTTTGTTGCTGTATATCATATTTGTTAGTTTTTTTGTTTGAATTGTTTTACATAGTCATTTTGGGGCCCTTTATTTTTGCTATGCGGTATGGATTTTGCTCATTGTTGAAGGTCATACAGTGACCTACATTTGCTAACTTTAATGTCTTTTGGTCTCTGGTGGAGATATATCTCATTGGCAATCATACCATATCTTCTTATCTTTTAAGGGTCATAATGCCTTCAACCACTACAAATTGCAAAGTTCATCTGTAACTTGTCATTATGCAACTAAAACCAGTTTAACTGGAAAGACAGCAAAAGAAATTACTTACAGAATATACAATTGTACTTACCTCTCCAACAGAATTAGCTAATAATGAGACAATTTTTTCATGAGGTACTGCTACAACACTTTGGTTATTTATTTCTATAATTCTGTGTCCGACTCGAACACCGCCTCGCTCAGCTATGCCTCCTCGTAATAAACTGCATATCTAAAATATTTAAAAAAATTGAAAGCCAAACCATAACAGTTTCACCAAATGTTTTATATTTTGAAATTCTTTTGCTGTTACACCACTGTCCCTGGTCAAGGGAAGAGTTTTATGCTCACAAATATATTTGCATTAAAAAAATACTTGTGCAACTGATCAGATCAATTCAAAGATTATCTAGAACTATCTAAACATGAGTAAGGCAATGGAATCAATGTTGATCTAGTGAAACAGCTTGCTTCAGGTTACTTTACCCAAATTTTTCTTATGTTTCATTCAAGTAATTTTGGTCTAACACTCTTTGTTTTACAATAGCTCTTGACAACATTATTGTTGAATTGACCATTTGAAATAAAATTGTTACTCTTTTACAGTTTCTGTTGTAATCCTGCCAAATACTATCCTAGGCAATGAGAATGTTGTCTATAGTATGGTTTTCATTTTGCTATTTTAAATGAATAAATTAGACAGTTGTCTTATACATTTTTTACGATTGGTTTTATAGCTCAGCTCGTGTTTTGAGTCTTTGACTACAGTCAGTATTGTAAAAGGTCAATAGATGTGAGAATATTCCCATTTACATTCTTTGGTCTTTAAGGCTAGTTGTTTCACTGGTAATCATACCTCATCTCCTTAAAAAATGAAAACAGCACTTTATAAATTTCATGCGTTTTAGGGGCTTTTCTGGATTTACCTTCATCAGGAATGCTCAAAGCTGAATATTTGCAAGCCAAGGATGTAAAAGAAAAGAAACAGTTGAAGAGCTTTATGACCAAAAAGGACCTTAAAATATAGCCAAATCCATCAAACGTTAACTTTGATTAAAAATTGTATACAGAATGAAATAATTCATTTCCTGACTACATACCACACCATTCTGTACACTGAATCCCAGCTGATATTTAACATCAGGTCGTTTCACTAACACTTCTACAACAGGTGGACACGGTACAACAGATAACTTCACAACAGTTTGTTGTTTTGAACTCTGAAAAATAAATAATATGATTTTAAAAGCTAGCTCTGTTGGCACTTATGTAGTTGCTATGAAAAATGTGATGAAAATTAATCAATTAACTACATTAATATGAAGAGCATACATGTATCTAGCAACAAGAAGTAGATAGGTTGATTGATTGATTGATTGTTGGCTATTTCTTGGCGGTCAGTTTTTATTCGTGGAGGAAGCCGGAGTGGCCGAGAGAACATAGACCTTCGGCAGGAAAACTAACAATCCTAGTTAATAAAGACTGTAGTCGATCACACCTGCCATGTGCGTGGTTCCAACTCAAAACCTCAGTGTTGACAAGCTAGTGATACAGTAATAGAACTACTTAGACCACTCGGCCACCGAGGCCCAATAAGAAGTAGATAGCATACAGATCTGAAAATGTGTCGCACAGAAGCTTGGTACCAAATATTAAGAAGCTACGATTTTTAGTTGCTGAGGACATGAAGATTTCGAATGTTTATTTCTGGTTACAAAACTAATGTGATAGTCAAATATAAATGAAAGTTTCAATTAAAAAAACCCAGGAACTATAGGCTCCCAGCAGACTTTAATGCTCAAACGACAAAACAACTCATTCATAGTTGAAGAGAGTATCAGCATCAAATTAAAATAAAGTTAATGCGAGTGAGGTTATGTAGCATGACCAACAGCAGTGATGTTTCCGTTTTCAGCTTACTTTTCAACAGAAATTATTCCAGAAATTCATAATTTTGTTGGTAAATCAGATTATGTTTTTGTTCTGGCATCAATCATGAAAGACAGTGACGTTTGGAATTTCTACTTTTTAAGGATATAACTGATTATTTTTGTAAGATTTTTGTAATGTAAATATTAAACAGAAGTAAAGTAATTGATGTCCTCAGTACTAAGATTCAATTTTTTTTTATGAATTTTATTGTAAAAAAATAAAAAAATAATGGCCTCAGATTATTTTTGACAAAACAGATTCCTTTTCCATCTGATGCCACTATATGATGAACCATTTGATTAGAAAATCAGCTTTAACATGTTACAATCAACTCAAATACCATCATTACTGATAAAGTAAATGACCATTGTTTTTGTTAAATCACAATCATTCTGCCACAATTATTTCCCAAATATTGTAACTGCTATAAAAAATATCATTAATTCATCACAGATAGTTGTTGACATATTTTCTTTTTTCAATTTCCTATAGCTGGAGGGATGAAGAGAGATAAGGAATTCCGTGTCTATCAAGCTGTCTCGAACATGACACTTTCAAGAAGCACAATATCCATTCCAAGCATTCAACCAGGACAACAATTTTTCAACATCTTTGGATTTTTTTTAATCTAATATGGCTCCAAAGGTCTAATTTTGTAGCCTTATAATAGAGAGTTTGAAGTGAATTTTTTTTATAATGATTGAAATGAAGTATATTACTTGGACTGCCAATGGCTAAAGCATGGATAAAATGCTACATCTTCAGTCCTTGATATTTCTGCTGTTGTACTTTTGGGTTTGTTGTAAACTTATAAACTTATTTTGACCAGGAGCCATTTAAAACTTGATATATGGTTGACTTTTGACTATTGTTGTGACCCAGATGATTTCTAGATTTATTGTATTGTTAGAATGTTGTTTTACTGACATATACCCCACATCTCCCTGGATTATAAGAGTAAAAAATATCCAGTACAAAACCAATGGTCTAAGTATATTGTTCAACATAAGCATGTTTCTATTTCTCTCAACTACACACCAAACCTGTTGATATTTGAAATGAAATTTACCTTTATGTAATTTTGACATGATGACAATGGTAAGCCGACCAAGCTGACACCATTGACAGAAATAATTTGATCACCAATATTCATCATGCCACATCGAGCTGCTGGACCAGTGGGGGCCATGTTAGCTACTACCACTGTAGGAACCATTGATCCCCAACCTGATTCTACTATAACTACACCTAAACTTTCACCTTTCACCTTTGGTACTATCACCTGAAATGGATAATAATAATTAACTTATTGTTTTAATTTATTTTTCATTTAGAAAACTCATAAATATTCAAAATCAATATTTTAGTGTTGCACAAAGTACTGGAATTGTTGAACGATGGACAAAAATCAGTTTAATTATTGGGATTTCAGTAAACGTTTCATACAAATGATGTTTTCAAAATTTAAAATGTGAGTTTTAATTTTTGCAAAGCCTATCCTGTTACATTTATTGCAATAATAAAACATCTGAAAAATTGCTGAATTTGTTATCCTGTAAACTTTACTGAGATCAACAATAACGACTGTAGTTTGCACTATTATGCCTGTCAGCTAGCAGCTTATAAACCCAAATGGCACCTGATCTATCTAAAATACTGACTGTAATTTGCACCATTAGTTCTGTAAGTCAGCTGATTGTTAAACTTAAGGTAATCAATGGCTTGTCAATGAGTTATATCATCAAACTTTTCTACTATTTACTTTGAGTTTTTAGGAAAAATTAGCCATACCACTTAAAAATTGAAAGGGAGCTTTCTTCTGTCAAATCTAATGTTATGTTAAAATTACATGACAATTGGTTAAGGCAAATTTGAGTTAATGTATGCAGTGCTGACAGACAGACAGACATTGGTATACCATTATATGTCCCGTCTTTGATGTGCATATAAAAATAAAAAAACATTTCAAAGAGTTCTATATGAAGAACATTAAAAACAATATCCAAAAGAACATGCTGTTCATGTAAATCCTCATGTTGAATAATTCAATAATCTCAATGCTAAAAGGAAATTTTATTGTGATTTTCCATCCAATATTCACAGACAAGTAATATTATTGAATGTTAAATAAAGAAGAAAATCAAAAGCAGATTATGTTCTGTATCCAATTAATCTACTAAATCTCTAGTAAAAGGAAGAGAAGTCATAAAGATCGAAAAGACTTCTGTAAACAAACAAAAACATCTTAATAATGACAGATCTGGCCAAGGCATGTCATTAGTCTTTTAACATCAAGTCCTTAATGCTAAAAGTGCATTTCACAAAATCAATTAGGGCAGATTACATTCCAATTAAGCTTTATTTGCCTTGGAGTCAGAAACCAAATTTGAAAATTTAAACAAACAGTTATCAGATAGTATTCCTATTTAGTTCACTAAAAATAACTGACTCTTGAAAAAAACCATAAGAGTACAATTTCATTAAATAATCTTTTAACCTCTAAATCATTTTCTCAAATTGGTCTGCAGTGAAGATCAAAATCGTTTATCAAAACCAATAGTGTTATTTCGTGTTGACATCAAAACACGTCAATTTTCAATTTCTTAAGAATCTCTAGGAGACAGATATTTTAATTAGCGTCAATGTGCTTCAATGATAAGAACCACACATTTCATAAATACATTAGAGAGGTACAACTCCAACGACAGAAATACGTTTCTAACATAATTATTTCCGTTCTGTGGTAATAGCAGGATGCATGAACAGGGAAAATGGGGAAAAAATTGTCACTTAATTGTATGGTTTCTGCCATTAACTTTATGAATTATTCAAAATATTAATGGAGTGCCTTTCAAAATTTTGACACCTTTTTCTTTTATGTACAATTTACAACTAATCCATTTGTAGGTCTTCTATCAGGTTTTGAAAATTATCTACATTTTCATCAGTAATAATTGATCAAATTAAGACATATTATGGATTGATATTTTTTAAACTGATTTTGGAAATATTGAAATACGAACATCAGAAACGCTTTTCCACTTATGTACTTATGACTGTATCAAACTTTAAATAATTGAACAGTGGAGGAAAATATTGCAGAAATTCTAAAAGCTTTGTCTACTTTACCAAGTAATGTAATTAAACAGATTTTTTTAATTCAAACTTCCTTATATTTTTAATACCTTCAGGTCTCTCATAAGTGTTTTTTTTTCCAATCATTTCTTGTATGCAAACAATGATATGCCAAAAATCATTACTTTATGCAACTTAAAAATATTCAACTCATTATTTTTTTTAATATTGCATTTACTTTACTGGAGTATGTCCCCCCATCCCCCTCCCTTTCAAAAACAAGTCTAGCCTTTTCATTTGCAATATCAAAACAAGAGTGTACACACTGACATGTCTCTCGTGCTTTATTGATCACAGTTGAATTTATGTTGAAAGTCTTTGAGATAATGGTTTTACTACAAGTATCACATAAACTTAACATTATCAATGATCCATGTAAGTGAGGTAAAGCTCAGATGAACCCTGCCAGACGTACACGTACACATTTCAATAGACGTACACGTACACATTTCAATAGACGTACACGTACACATTTCAATAGACGTACACATACACATTTCAATCATGTCATACACCAAATAGAAAACCAACCTAACCATGAAAAATTAAACATTAACCAATGAACAATGAAAATGAGGTCATTGTCAGATGAATTCTGTTATACCAAATAAAAAAATATCCTATTTATCATAATAAGTGAGGAATTCATGTGATAAAAAAAAAGTTTTTTAAGCATTCATTAAATGTTGAAAATAAGGTCAAGGACAATGGACATATGGCAGAGGAAAACTTCAGTACATAAGACATCTGTATACAAGGTATGGAGTATCTAGGTCTTCTACCTTCTTAAGTATAAAGCTTTACACAAATAGTTTAGGATGCCAGTGATGTTGGTGATTCTTGTTGTGGGTGAAGACAAAAACCTGAGTTTGTTCACAGATATAAACAATTTTGTTAAAAACTAAATTTTACATATCTTTTTATTCACTATTGGAGGAAAAAACTTAATATATCAACCCTTTTAGGAGATACAAATTTACAGATAAAAATTCTGTGCATAGATTTTGTGAAATAATTTTTTGTGCAGGCTGAATTTCATTGAAAATTTTGGAAACGGAGCAGAACACTAACACAAGCTTATGATGGAATTCTTATAAATGACATTACTATAATCTATTTGTTCACTCATCTGTTTATGCATTATTTTGAATTTTGTTTCTCTCACAAGCTAAATCAATGTCAACTGTGGAAAAGTGCTATAACAGAGGCAAAATACAAAAACCTCTTAGATATTAATATTAGAATATTGCATAACAGGAACATATTCCCTGATGTCAGAATGTTACCAACTATCCCATGAAATGTTGTATTTTAATGTTAGACAACAATTCATTCAATTTGTTCCTGTAATATGTCTAAGTGAAAACAGTCTCTGGAGATTTACTTATGTCTTTTATCTTTATTAAGACGTTTAAGTGAGATCTACTCTCAGGAGGTTTGTCTTGTCTTATTTCATGAGTGACAGTCTTATATTCAATGCATTCTAACTAGTCGATGTTATCAAGATTTCACAGTATAGAATTGAGAATGAAAATGGGGAATGTGTCAAAGAGACCCAACCAAAGAGCAGAAAACAGTCCAAGGCCACCAATGGGTCTTCAACGCAGCAAGAAAATTATGCTTCCTGGAGGCAGGCTTCAGCTCGACACTTAAAAATTAATGTATACTCGTTGGCTCAAAGCTTACACTATGTAGATATTCATATTTTTGTATAAAAAGTTGAATAAAAGTAAATTTAAAAAGTATCTCAAACAAAGCTGAACGTGTACATATTCATTCTCTTTAATGTAAAGTAGTTCATTTTCCTAAACATTAAAGTATTCCAAGAGATTAATTATTCCCTATACTTTAGCACTTTTTACATACCATAAAGAAGGTTGTTACATAAACCTTATTCTATAAGTTTGCCTTTAATTACAATTGAATGAGTTGTCTTAATTGAATGTCAACTTAAAAGAGAGAAATTCTATGTTTAGATGAATGATTTTATCACCTTTATAGACCTTGATTTGCAGAAGATTGGATTAACTTACAATTAATGCATAGAAAACCAGTTAACTTATATGGTTTCAAATTGATTGAAATGAAGATTGAAATTGGCAATGCATGGCTTCTTTTTTTGTAGTTATGACGTTTTAAAAAAAACTAATATAACACGTTGGTATGTCATTAAAATCTCCCGCTTAAAATTCAGTTTGGATTTTCCTAATTTCCTCTTTTGTTAAAACATGTAAATGATAAACATCAATTAACCAGAGGCTCCTAGGGGCTCCTTTTGTTCATCTAACATCAGACACATCTCTCACAAATCATTCTGATTTCAGTTACACATTGTGAATAACTGGGATACTTTCAGATTTTTTGGGGGTTTTCCATTATAGTAATATTTAAACCAACATATAAGATCAAGAGATAATCATAAGCACCTTGTTTCTTTAATTCATGAGCTGTATACCTTTTTATTGTAGGTAATTTACAAGTTGTTTTTTACAGTGTGATACAAATAACCACAGATTTTCAAGGAAAATAAGTAAAAGATTGGACACACAAAAAATAATTCCACATCATGTCTTAGATGAAAAATTGGTGTCTGCGTCTATCTGTAGCCTTTTATAATTGAGTGACTGTTGACAGTTGCTGCAGCCAGGTTTTTTTTCACAATAACTTCCATTTCTATCTTAATTTTTTTAGTTTAATATAATCAAAAGATAACTAGAGGCTCTAAAGAGCCTGTGTCGCTCAGCTAGGTCTATGTGCATCTTTAACCATGGACACTCTCCAACATTTTGGACCAGAATAGAATTCATAAAAAAAAATTTCTTTGTTGATCTTGTATTGCTGGTCATTTTTCTGTTTCAAGTTTCTGTCTACCTTCTTTAGTTTTTGCCCAAAATACAAAAAAGGATAAAAAAAATTGTCATATAAGGGCAATCACTCCTATAATGAGTCTATTAAAGATTTGACTGTCTTGATCCTTTCTACTATTTAAAGTGTCTACCCGTATGTATCTTTTATAATTTTCAAGATAACAGACAAAAATTTCAGGGCAGGTAGTTCTTGACCTATGGAACACTTTTACCCCTTGTCAGATTTACTCTAAATGCTTTAGTTTTTGAGATATAAGCCAAAAACTGTATTTTACCCCTATGTTCTATTTTTATCAATGGTGGCCATGTTTTTTGACGAAACAGAAAATAAAACACAAACTTTATACTAGATACCCTAAGGATCATTCAGCTTAAGTTTGGTTAAAATTTGGTTTAGTAGTTTCAGAGGAGAAGATCTTTGAAATAGTTTATACCGGACGGATGACGACGGACGCCAAGTGATGGCAAAAGCTCACATTTCCTAAAAGGAAAAAGTGGATCTGAGGCTAGATTTTTAAATGTTATAAATATTTCTGATATGGTTTGATTTAAAATATACTCTTGAATGGTGGCAATCTTTAATGTATTGAGGAGCTATCACATAAAATATTACAGGGAACTACCACAGGGCAATTCCAAACAAAGCTAATAAAATCGGCTCAATTCAATTAGTAAAGGAGCACCAAAAAAAAAAAGTTCCAAACAAATAATAACGTAGGCTAATTTTAACATTTAATCAATTTCATAGTTTCAAAAAATGCTCTGCTGGATGCAGCTTAATACGACTGCAGTCGTTTGTGGTAAGTACAAATATTTATGGATCTTTTTTGTGCATATGCATAAATTCTGCTGAAAAAAATTCCACAGAAAGATAAAAGAATTACCCTTTTAAAGCATTAATTTGCATCTCTGACCCAGGCAACAGTATTATGGGGAAAATCCTAAAAATGGGCAATAATCTCAGGGAAAAGAGAAAGTCTGTCATGTAAGAATGGTAATGAAGCTATGAGGATAAATTTATCGGTTTTCAAGACCTAACTTGACAGCGTGTCACCCCTACAATGGCTTCCATTTTTACGCTTAAAAAATTGGGTGGCATAATGGGGAAATAATTTTGAAATAGAATCCTGACTGTTATACTCAAGTTATTGTCTGGAAACCAGAAAATCCTAGTTTTTTTGGCCCCTAATTCATAACGATTTGGGCTACAACCCCCAAAATCAATCCCAAATTCCTTTTGAGGTATGGAACCTTGTGGTACAATTTCATAGAGATCCATACACTTTTACACAAGTTATTGTCCTGAAACAAGAAAAATGCTTGTTTTTGGCCCCTAATTCCTAAACAGTTAGGACAATAACCCCCAAAATCAATCCGAACCTTCCTGTTGTGGTATAATTTCATAGAGATCCATACACTTATACTCAAGTTGTTGTCTGCAAACCACGGAAGACAACATGATAACATAATACGAACGCATAAATTTTGCCGTTGTATAAAAACCTCTGTAGTTAAAGACAAAACATCATTGATTGGTATCTTACCTTATCATTTAGTTAAGAATGGCATGTTGTTTGGTCAACAAGAATCAGCAAACAGATCAAGTACAATAATTGTCATAAACAGCAATGATGGAAAATTTGCTTTGAATAGGATAATTAAATATGCAAATTTTTGAAAATGTATTAATATCTTGCCAAAAAAAATCTATATTCCAAACTATGTTCAATGATATTGTTCCGCCTAGAATGAATGAAAGGCAAATCTATCTTCAAGGTGGTAGGCATCTCAAATGTAAGTTTTGTCCCTACATGTAGGTATTTAGAACTATGTTTTATTTTACATATTAGAGGATCGTTATACTCATTCTTCTGGATACATAAATGACAATGTTAAGGTAGCAGACTCATACTAATCCTTAGTGCCAAAACAACTGATCAAAATTTGGAAGTCCATAGTCATGCAGCAGCTTTTTGAAAGTTCATGGTAAATGTATGTAACAATTTGAAATTCCATAGTACATGTATGTAACAATTTGAAATTCCATGGTACATGTATGTAACAATTTGAAATTCCATGGTACATGTATGTAACAATTTGAAATTCCATGGTACATGTATGTAAAAATGTGTGGAAACTTCAGCTTACCTCTTTGTGTTTCTCTTTATTGGCAAACAGATTTAATTCCTCCCCATATATTTCTTGTTGATTGAGGACATCTTGATAATCAATTTCTTTCATAAGACCAGGATCTTCTATTCCATTGGCCTTCAGAAATTCCATATAAGCCACCTGGAAGGCTTGACCTATGGACTGGGCTATCAGTTGAGCCTAAAATATATGAAAGAACAAAGTATCAAATAAGTGATCAATTTCATATTAAAATAAAGGATGATAAAGCTAGTCCCTTTATTGACATCAAGCGGAACACAGGGCTCAAGTTACTTAAATAAACCACAGGAGAAATGGACGTCTTAACTGACTATCTTAACCAAGGGAAATAAAGTAGCCAATACTTGAGAAATTACTTCAAAACACAACAGAATATAACATGATACTGTTAAAGGTTCATTTGCCAGACATGACAGAATTTCCAGCTCAAACAGAAGTATCTTCTTTCCTTTTTTAGAATATAGCATAATTATTGCAAACCAAATGAAAGTTTTCCACACAGTCATCTGCTCTTGGTCAAGGTATTTAAACTTTTGTCTGTTCTATTGTCTCATTGAATAATTACAATAGCTATTGTTCTCTGTGTAGTTTATTCCCTGGGACATTTAAATTTCTTCTAAGAGAAATCGAGACAAAAGTTTAAATACCTTGACCAAGAGCAGATGACTCTGTGGAAAACTTTCATTTGGTTCACAATAATGCAAAAAAAAAATGTTAATGACCTGTAAATGTGTCCCTGTCAAGAGAGAAAACAGTGAATTTAACATAATTTTCTTTTTGTTGCCTATTGGATGTAAAGCAAACAACAATCAGTCAATCTATCTTTATATTTCCACCCCTTACCAAAGGCCACCATATTTATGGTGATATCATTCTTTTGTTGAGATGATCTTCTCAGATTGGGACTGACGTTATACAGTATACTGCAGTTTTTTTTAACAGGGTGAAAACGCAATAAGATGACTCATTGACCAAAATTTCACAAAGCCTTTTTCATTAACTGGACAAAATAAAACATGCAGACTATTCAAATTTTAATCATCCTTAAATTGCAAACCTGACATTAAATTCTAAATCAGTCCAATGTAAGCCATTTTATAATCTTAAGTTTTCCCATCAGCAATTATTGTAATAAAGTGGGGTTTTTTTTAATTCTAGAACAAAATTGTCCTCCAGAGAAAACTGAATATGATTCAAACAAGAAAGATGGTTTTTAATGATCATGAGAATTGTAAGAAATGTTATTGCCACACTGTAGAAGACGAAACAGTCTCCCAAACCATAATGATACTCAAGTACTTTAAAATTCTCAACATAATTGAATTCTTTAGCAGATCGTTTTAGAAATCTGGAAAATAAGTTTTGGTTTGGAAATTTTAAATGTTAAATATATTTATAATTAGGCACTGCAAAAGAATTAGAATGGCCAAATTTGACATGCAGACAGTATCATAGCTTTATAACCTTATTAACATTGAGCCATTTGTAGATAATATATAAGTAACTGAATTGACTTTACAGACTGAAATGATCAGCTGTTAAATAATCTGGAAACCCATCAATTTTCTCTTCTTACATTACATCACATATAGTTAATATTACGTAAATTTATTACAGTTTTTGCAACACATGATATTCCGATAACCAGATCAAAAACTATTCCCATAAAAGGATGAGCAAAGCTTATATTTTTCCTCTGTAAAACATGTTATGTTCAGGAAAATAAATCAGTTGGTTGATTGTTAAAAATTTAGTTCTATTTTCTAACTTTATTTATTTTTCCAAAGATTAGTCAAAGATTCAATGGCCATCTGGGACTATTACATAATTATCTATTAGTCCCAGTGCCAGGTGGCCATGTTGCAATACTTACGGTTGTAATTGAAAGGTCTTATAAATGGAAATGAAACTAAGATTTGATGTCCTTGAGGACACATTTATCTAAATGCTAGTTCAGAAAGGTGATACATTTATTTCTGAAAAAAATAGAGCAACTAAAGAATCATGTCTCTGAAAAGCTAAACGAAAATTCTACAAATGAGTAAACAAACATCATGTTGAGTGTCACTTCTAACACTACAGAAATTCAGTTGTAGCAATCAGTTAGGGAAGTGATGGTTTCAAATGCTGTTTCATCAGTAAATAGGTGTAGGTGAATAACAACTCCTAATTGAAAGCAGCATCACTTTGAATGTAAGTAATGCTTTCCCTTTTTAGGGAATAGCAAATGACTTAATTTCCATGAGTAAATAACATTATCAAATCCAAATGAAATAACTTTATCTGAAATATTGTTGTGGTTTTTGCAAAGTAATGTCATGCCTATACATGACACCATATGCATAAAAGCATTAATACTTCACATTTTCTGTTTGTATGCAAGACTAAAATTTCGAAAATATCTCATTCAAACTATGTTTGAGGTAGGTGGTAGGATTCTAATAATTGAACTTGTTGAGTCTATGAAATTCGATATTACTGCTCATTCAAAAGTGAAAGCATATGAAACAAAATGTCAACTATCAATTTGAGAGAAAACACAAGCCAAAGAAAATATCTATTACATATAAATTGCATCAAAATTAGATTTATACACTGATCTAAAATATATAGCTTGGTTTCCAAAGGAAATGAGTAGAATGATTTTTATTTTGATCAAAGAGTCCATAATTATATCAATATATTAATTGTTGGTTGGATACAAATGAATTATAGGTTTCAAAATGAGTGAGAATTGGATATCGCTTGATATTAACTTGAGTTATTTAATTTCAGTATATTAATAAAAAAAAGCCTGTGACAAGTACATAATTATTATTCAAATCAAATTACAAGGGTTGATATCAAGTGATATCTAATTCTCATAAGTTGTTACATCTTTGTTTTGAACAGCTGAGACACAATTAAGTGTCTGATTGCATGAATTATCTATTTCTCTCCTTTTGGAAATAATAAAACATACTGTTACTTTCTTCTCCAGATATTTTGTTTTGTCTTCAAGCATAAGTCATAAATGTGACAGTTATAAAATGTCATAATAGATTTTCCAGTAACTACTGAACAATTTTATTCGCCACATGCTCCCTAATTGTACCAAATTATTTGAATCAACCAGAAGAATCAATGAAGTGCCCATTAATATTTACTGCAATTTCAAGATTTTATGTCATTGTTTTGAAGGATAAAATAACCAATTAATAGAAACCTAAAAGTGTCAAAAGGAATCTTGAGATTTTAATAAGCTTCCATAATTTAATCCCCACAGACAACCGGCAATGGAAATATCTCCAGGAATTAAATTAATTGTTCTTGTTTTCAAAATTCAATAAACACCATAAAGTTCTAAGTCAGAAATCTAAACAACCTTGAACTTAAAGTTTGCTGTAATAATTTCAATTTAAAAGGAAGTCAATTTATATACTTTCATTGTTTTCACCCATAGGCATAAAACTTAGCCAAAAATATAAATAGCCAGCCATTATGATATGCTTAGATATTTTCAGTTTGTGTTAGTTGAAATATTGTGTTGCCCTCTCTCAGACAAAGTTAGCTGATAGTCAGAGCATCATGTTATCCTATCTAATACAGTGAACTGCTGAAAGACAGTTTATCATTACTAATTTAACTCTTCCTTTAATCCTCCCTTGGACAATAGTACAGATATGAGACAGTGTGTCATTATTTCTTCCTGTTATCCTCCCTAGATTAAAAAACAGCTGGAAAACAGTGTTGTCATTATTGACCTTTCCTTATTTCTTCCTAGGTCAGAAAAAGGCTGAGAGATAGAGTGTCCTTATCAGACTTTCCTGTTATCCTCCCTGGGACAAAAAACAGCAAAGTGACAGTATGTCATTATTTATCTGTCCGGTTATCCTACCTAGGACAGAAAACAGCTGAGAGACAGTATGTCATTATTGATCTTTCCTGTTATCCTCCCTAGGACAGAAAACAGCTGAGAGACATTATGTCATTATTGACTTTCCTGTTATCCTCCCTAGGACAAAAAAAAAAGCTGAGAGACAGTATGTCAATATTAATCTTTCCTGTTATTCTCCCTAGGACAGAAAACAGCTGAGAGACAGTATGTCATTATTGATCTTTCCTGTTATCCGCCCTAGGACAGAAAACAGCTGAGAGACAGATGTCATTATTGATCTTTCCTGTTATCCTCCCTAGGACAGGACAGAAAACAGCTGAGAGACATTATGTCATTATTGACTTTCTTGTTATCCTGACCTCCCTAGGACAGAAAACAGCTGAGAGACAGTATGTCATTATTCATCTTTCCTGTTATCCTCCCTAGGACAGAATACAGAGTGAGACAATGTGTCATTATTGACCTTTCCTAGGCCACAAATCAGCTGAGAAACATTTTGTCATTATTGATCTTTCCAGCATATCCTCCTCAAGTCACCTACAGCTGGTATGCCATATCTGACCCTTCCTGTCATCCTATCTTAAACAGAGTACCAGTATGCTATAATTTTTGACTTTTTGACTGTCTTGTTGTCTTGTCTCAGACATTGTAAGCTGAGTGACAATGTGTCATTGTTGAACTTTCCTCCCAATCATCAGCTTGTTATTCTACTTTTGATTCAGAAACTTGGTGCTGTTTGTTATGTCAATGCTGACACTACCTATTATAAATAGCTAAGATAACAATGTTGTTTCTTACCAGGTATGAGAATAATAATTTTTCTGCAAGATAATTTCTTTAGGAAAGTTTGTTGCTATTTTATGTTATCTACTGTTCACATTATCATCCTTTCCTTACAAGAAATACGATAAACATTTACCAGTCATTGAAAGTCAAATGAAAAAAAGCTTTTCCATTATCCCTTACAGTATTAATCCTATCAATTAATAATATTTTACTTGTAAAGATTAATAAAATCAAATCATTTTTTTCATTTATTGATAAGTCATTCAATTATTAAAGAAATCTATCAAGATTCAAGACATAGAACAATTCACAGTGAAAACAAAGTTATCCTTGAATTACTCATGTTACATAAATTTGTAAAATACAAAAATCTCAATAATACCTATAGCAAAATCAAGACCAAATACAAATACAACTGAGACAAAAAAAAAATTTAACTGAGACAAAAAAATATATCAACTTTTTGAACCCTGAAGCAATTTGCATAATGAATTTC